AACGATGACCAAATTGTAGTACAATTAACTTTATTGTACAACAAACAATTTACAATATTCGCTAATACAGTAAAAACACTTTACAATACTTGTTAAAGCAATAACAACGCTTTACTAAACTTGTTAACACAATTAAACTTATAGCTTGCTTATTCGCAACTCACTTCTCTGCTCACTCTACTTGTAGCTTGCTGACTTGTAACTGTCCAACTCCGCTGTGTCGTGGCTCTTATATACCTGCGCTCGTACGCATGGCACCTCTCGAACGTTCTGAAGTTCATCGCTCATTCTCTTTCTCTCGCTGTTCGCAGTGTTCATCCAACTTGACGTTTCTCTTTATGGAACACTCTACGTCATTCCTCGAACATTCAGCCCATTTCTCGTTGCTAAATGTTGCCGCAGTATTCGCCACACTGCCCTCCCCCTAAGTCTGATCGTCCCGATCAGACACACTTGCGGTTCCAAACGCTGCAAGCCTTTCCAAGTGGACCACCTTCATCTTGTTTCTTGGTCTCCCAACGGTTTGGATCCGACACACTACGTCATTTAGCCGTTTTACGACCTTATACGGACCTTCCCAATTGCATTGTAGTTTTGGGGACAAACCTTTCTTTCGTTGTAGATTGTACAGCAACACCAAATCTCCTTCCTGGAAACCCTCGGAATTCATCGCCTTATCATACCTAGCTTTCATCTTGTCACTCATAATTTGCGTGCGCTTTCTCACAAGAGCATGTATCTCTCTCAGCTCCTCTTCCAGGATGTTTGACGTCTCTTTTCCAATTCTTCTAGCATCACCAGTCACCCCGAACTTCAGATCACTAGGCAAACGGAGTTCACTGCCGAATAATACCCTTGCAGGAGTTTTACCCATTGTTTCATGCACTGCTGACCGGTATCCCATCAGGAACAAGGGTATGCGGACATCCCAATCTTTTTGATTTTTGTCCACGACCTTCCGCAAATGCTCTTCCAGAGTTCGGTTGAACCGTTCCACCATGCCATCTGATTGGGAATGAAGAGCCGTCGTTCGAGTTTTCCGGATACCCAGTATCTGGCACATCTCTTGGAACACCGCCGATTCAAAATTTCTTCCCTGGTCAGAGTGCAGCTCTATAGGTACACCGTATCCGGTGAATACCTCCGCTACTGTTTTAGCTTCCTGGTTTGCAATCGGGTACACCTCCGGCCATTTGCTAAAGTAGTCCATAACCACAAGGACGTATTTGTTTCCCTGTGCGCTCATAGGAAATGGACCGGCTACATCCATGGCAATCCGCTCAAAAGGTGCACCGAAGTTATACTGCTTCATCTGGCCATGACTTCTGGATTTCGGCCCTTTAGCTGCAATACATTCCGCGTAGTTAGCAATCCACTCTGCGACCGATTGCCGACAACCAACCCAATAGAACCTCTGCTTAACCTTCTCCAGGGTCTTCGTGATTCCCAGGTGTCCTCCACTAGGACCATTGTGGAATTCCTTGAGTAAATCCGGAATTCTTACCCTTGGAACTACTATCAGGTTGCGGGAGCACTGGCCATCTTCGCTTTCCCATACCCTATGCAAACAGCCAGATATTAATTTTAAGCTGTTCCATTGGGCCCAGTACGCCTTTGCGACGGGGCTTTCCGCTGCCATTTGCTCCTTGGTTGGTCTCCTGTCCACCTCCAGTCCATGCATCAAAAGCTCCAGATCAGGATCTTCCTGCTGACACTTTCGTAGCTGTTCTTCCTTCCACTCTTCCACTGGTGTTGTTGTCGTTAGACGGACGTCTATAATGTCCTCTTTGCCTTCAGCTTTTGAGCAGTGTTTACATTCCAGGCTACATGGTCGGCGGGACATGGCATCAGCAATACCGTGGACACTTCCCTTGCGGTGCTCAATAGCGAAGTCATAACTTTGCAGTCTCTCAATCCACCGAGCTAG